ATGCTGGAAATCGAAGTAGTCAGCATCCTGAACATATATGGCCCAAATGAACCCAAGGAAAGACAACGGTTCTTCGAGCGGATTAAGGTAAAACTCCCGCCGAGGATACCGATAATAATGGCGGGGGACTTCAATGCGGCCCCCGATCGCTGGCTTGACAGGTGGAGAATTCCAGCTCCCTTCCCACTCTACGTGGAAAGTGATGAACAAACTGTGGCAGATTTAACCCAATCCCTCAACCTCGTCGACGCTTTCAGACAAGCATTCCCCACTAGACGTAGTTTTACATACTTCCGTAAGAGCCGCACAGAGAGAGCAACGAAATCACGCATCGACTTATTTGATTTCAGAAGCACTGCAAGGGGCCCTGCAACTGGTTGAAATCCTCCCCTGCAGTCCCCACCCAGGTCTGGACCATGCGATGAGCGTGGCTATCTTTTCGTTCCGAAAGAAGCCGGGCCAAGGGCGGGGTTTCTATAAAAGTGAACACGTCCCTCTTATCTCTAGACCTCTTCAAGGCTTATCTAAAGGATGTCTGGGCCTATTGGCGCCAACAAAAGGATCTGATCAGGGATGACATAACATGGTTCAATAACGGCCTCGCTCTCCTGGGCCGCAAGTGCAATGACTACTCAAAGCTTCTCGCAACCAGCCGCAACGCGGAGGAAATAAATCTTCAACACAGATTACATCATCTCGAACAGCAAGAAATCGACATGAGTAATGATACAAATTTAGCAGAGATTGCAGAGGAAATCCAAACACTAGAAACCCAGACCCTGCAAAAAATGGAGTACCGTTGGCAGGGCATCATGATTCGGGGCAAACTGCAAAAGCACAACGCGGAAGGAGCAATGGACACTAGGTTCTTCGCAATGGCTACGGCGCGGGTTGGCAGGACGACAATAGAGGCCTTGGAAGACCCCAAGGGCCTCGACGGGCCACTCGCAACATCTACAGCAGCCTGCACAAGGATAGCGAGAGACTTTTACAAAAATCTCTTCACTTCGGAGTGCGGGGCGCAACCTGAAGGGCGGAGAACAAAGGAAATTGAG